GCTAAGGGATGTTTTTATATTTGGATTTTAATTAATTGTATTGAATAAGGGTAGTGACAGATATTACGTAATATCCAAAGGGGAGGGGGTCTTTGACATTTTATGTTAGATATATGTTGTAGGTGGATTCGGAATTCTATAGATTCCGAATCCAATTAAGTGGGATTCGGATCTTAAAATGACTTAAGTGGTGACGGAATCTTATCATTATGCAAAATAAAAGAATAAATCTTTTTATTAATCAATGATTATACGTATTTAAATCAATCGAATAAAAAATAGTCGTATCTTTTACTTTTAATTACTTTCGATTTGAAAATGTCAACCCAAGAAGAATATCCATTTATTTCAAGAGAAACTTTTAACAATTTAATCAAAAAATATCTAGAAAGCAAATCATTAAATAGACGTCGCAAAACCTTTATCTTACAAACTGATTACGATCTAATTATTTCAGTACTTCGTGATCCTAATAATTTGAACTTAGGAACCCCTAAAGATCGACATTGGATTAAAAATTCTTTTCAACTTCGAGAATTGGGAACTGAAACAAATCCAATTACTCAAATTATTACTGTTTCAAAAATTGAAAATGGACTTGAATTAACACACACCATATGTCCCTTTAACCGTCTTTATGATATCTTGTGTAAAATTCATGCTGGGGTTTTAAAACATATTGGAGCATCTAAAATGTGGGATGTTGTAAGTTTATTATATAGCTTAAAAATCATTTTTTCTAAACCTAATTTGTTATAATTTGTTAAATTTTTTTTTTTTTTTTAGATTGGAAAGCAATATGACTATATTCCGCAATCATTTATTAAAGAATTTTGCGGAATATGTAAAACATGCTCTACACATCGATTATTTCCTAATACTCTGGCCGCTAAGCCAATTGTAGCATCAAACTTTCTTTCCTGAGTTCAAATTGATTTGATCAGATTAACATTCCAACCTGTAAATGGGTATAATTATATTTGTCACGTCCGTGACCATTTTACCTATTTTTCATGAGCCCGATGTCTTACTAGCAAATGTGTCTCTGAGGTTGCAATATTTTTATATGATATATTTATTGTATTTGGAGCCCCACTAATTTTACAATCAGACAATGGTAAGGAGTTTACCGCTGAACTTATTACTGAATTAATGGGCCTTTGGCCTGGTGTACATATCATAAATGGGCGTCTAAGACACCCACAATCACAGGGAATGGTCGAAAAGGCCAATGGAATTCTACAAGTCAAACTTGGAAAATGGATGGAAGATAATTTCACAGATGATTGGACTGAAGGTTTACCTTTAGTTATACGTATATGTACTAACATAACAAGTTTATTATTATTATTTTTTTTTTTTTAGTTTACTATTTTATAATATAAAATAACAACTTCTTTTTATTTAGACGCAATGAATATCCAAACATGTTATGCAACAGGAAAATCTCCATATTCACTCGTGTTTGGACAAGATCTGGTTCAACATTTTTCAATACTTGAGGATTTATATCAACGAAATATTATGAATGAAGAAGAATTACCAGATGATTTTTTTGAAAATTCAAAAGAAAATAATCCACCGTCTGAACTTCTTAGATCAGAATTATTATTAGATCAACCTGAACCTTCAGCATCAAGCCAAAATAAATTTTCATTGCAGAATTTATCTGAACTTCAATTATCAAATCCAATCTAGCCTCAAATCAAGTTTTTATCATCAAATACAATCGAACATTCACCACCTAGTACAATCAAATATTCACCACCTAGTACAATTGAGCATTTATCATCTAGTACAATCGAATATTCACCATCTAGTACGATCGAATATTCACCACCTAGTACAATCGAATATTCATCATCTAATACAATCGAACATTCACTATCCAGTACAATTGAGCATTTACTATCCAGAACAATTGAGCATTCACTATCAAGTCCAATAGAAACTTCGTCGCAAAATCTAACAAAACCTTCGTCACTAAGATTAAATGAACATTTATCTCTGCTGAGTCAACAAGGGCCATCAAGTGAATTGTTACAAAATAATCATGTATGTTTTGGAATTATATGTGCAAGTTTATTATAAATTATTATATGATAATGATAATTATTTTATAGTCTAATACATCAAACATGCCAATACAAGATATCCAGTTACACCATCAACTTTCCCGAAAGTATGCAAATAAATCACTTGCTGATTACCGGGACAGAATGAAAAATCAAATGTTAAAAAAAACAAACATCAACTTGAATACGCCATTAACGAATATGTTTGCATTGCTATTCCTAAAATAGACCGTAACAGTATTAATCAGCACACTTTACCTTGCAAAGTAATTGAGGAATTACCCAACAAGATGTACCATTTGCAATGTAAAAATGGAATCCTTGATGTAACTTTTAATGCGAATGAACTTATGCCATTAGGACCAACTAAATATGAAGAACTTGAAATTTGTGAAAACAATGTTACTAGCATTCGAGAAGCTGCTAGAATACAATCAATGTCAATTGTGACCGGAGTATATTGTAATTGTAAAAGCGAATGCAAAAATAATAACTGTAAATGTAAGCGTGCTGGTATGCCATATAGAAGTAGTTGCCATCCACATAGTACAAAATGTAAAAA